CTAGTCTGTTGAACGATGATGATTCAGTATTTCGTGAGTTTAGCGCATAAAAATGGAAAATTGGCAACGCTGTACAGCCTAAACGAGGTTTCACTTCAAGTTGAAACTTTTCCCAAAAGTTTGCCTCACCATAAGCTTTCGTTTGAGCCTTGTCTCGTTGACCAACTCGGGTATACTAGTCTGTTGAACGATGATGATTCAGTATTTCGTGAGTTTAGCGCATAAAAATGGAAAATTGGCAACGCTGTACAGCCTTAACGAGGTTTCACTTCAAGTTGAAACTTTTCCTGGAAGTTTGCCTTACCATGAGCTTTCGTTTGAGCCTTGTCTCGTTGACCAACTCGGGTATAATAGTCTGTTGAATGATGATGATTCAGTATTTCGTGAGTTTAGCGCATAAAAATGGAAAATTGGCAACGCTGTACAGCCTTAACGAGGTTTCACTTCAAGTTGAAACTTTTTCTGGAAGTTTGCCTTACCATGAGCTTTCGTTTGAGCCTTGTCTCGTTGACCAACTCGGGTATAATAGTCTGTTGAACCATGTTGATTCAGTATTTCGTGAGTACAGCGCATAAAAATGAAAAATTGGCGACGCTGTACAGCCTAAACGAGGTTTCACTTCAAGTTGAAACTTTTCCCAGAAGTTTGCCGTACCATAAGCTTTCGTTTGAGCCCTGTCTCGTTGACCAACTCGGGTATAATAGTCTGTTGAACCATGACGATTCAGTATTTCGTGAGTTTAGCGCATAAAAATGGAAAATTGGCAACGCTGTACAGCCTATACGAGGTTTCACTTCAAGTTGAAACTTTTCCCAGAAGTTTGCCTTACCATGAGCTTTTGTTTGAGCCCTGTCCCGTTGACCAACTTGGGTGTACTAGTCTACTTATGCACCGGACTAATAGTCCAATATCCTTGATTTTAGCACATGAAACTGGAAAATTGGCAACGCTGTACAGCCTAAACCAGGGGTCACTTCAAGTTGAAACTTTGCATGGAAGTTTGCCTTACCATAGGCTTTCATTTGAGCACTGTCCGGTTGACCAACTCGGGTATAAAAAAAAGGGGCGAAACTTGGCGAGGCTCTTTTCCAGGAAGTATACTTCTTTGAAAATTTAAGAAGAATTCTACAGTGCCCCAGCGTGTTTCTGAAAATCTATTCGCCTTTTGCGAAATTTTTAGGGTAAATTTTTCACTTTTTCTTACGAAAAAAGGGTTGCATGAAATTCCGGGTATAATCCAGGTATCGTAACTTGGCTGATTTGAAAACGCCTTCAAATGCGGCGTGATACCTCACACATTCCGGAGAGTTCAAATAGTTGTATCATTGCGCCTTAGAAATGCGACGGAAGATTACAATTGAAATAGCCTTCATGCACGCTCGCCTTCTCGATTTCCGTTAACATTTTTGCAGTCATGAATGCGCTTAAGGGCGCTCCAGGTAGAATTGTATTTATCAAATGGGTGGTTTTTATAGGAGGATTATAATTAGACGAGTGTTTTTTTTTTTTTTTTTTTTTTTTTTTTTTTTTTTTTTTTAATGAAGTTATTTTATTATGGTTATTTACATCGAGGAACTATGGAGGACAGGCCATAGCCCGAAGGCCTTTGATACATACTAAAATGAAACCTATCTGTTTTATTTACATTATTTTTATTTGTTTCCTCCCTTGTGTTTAATTCCCCTTATAGAGGTTCTTAATTAGAATGTGGGTCTTGAAGTATCCTCTTACTTCAGATTGTACTATGTTTTCTTGATCGCCTCGGCATCGCCATTGATTGGTATTTCTTCGAGGGAGGAAGGGTTGGTTACTGATCTTTCTTGCTGGTCTTCTTTCAGAATTATTTGCTTTTGGATTAAAGTGTTTTTAATATATTTGTAAATTTCGTTCCAGTTTTTTCTTGATTCAAGCATTGCTGCCATGATGTAGTCTGGTGTTAACATTCTTCCTATCTTCTTTTCTAAATCTCTTCTCTGTTGTTTTGTTTGTTTGCATGCAAAGAATGTATGCTCCAGTGTATCTTTGATTTGATCTTCTATATGGCCATCGATGATAAGGCAGTAAGGGCAGAATGGGTTATCCCTCTTTTTAAATCTGTGAAGATAATCCGCAAAAGCTCCATGGCCAGAGAGAAATTGACTAAGATAAAAATCGGGGTTCCCGTGTCTTCTTATGAGCCATAAGTGTAGTCTTGGGATGAGTCTTTTTATCCATTATTCGGGGATTTTTCCCATTCTACGTTCCATCTTGTCATTTTGTCTCTGTGTATTTCTTCGATGTCTTCTTTTTTATATCTGCTTGTCTTTTCTGGTATAAGTATTTCTTCAGATGGGATACCTGAAATGATGTTTAAGCAAAAGTCTGAAGTTGTCCGGTAAGCGCTACATAGTGATATTTTGAGAGGTCTTAATGTCTTTCGTATTTCTGTTCTGTTCTTTTTCAAGTTACATTCTGTCGTCCAAGTAATGATTCCGTAGAAGATTATTGATAAAACTGCGTGGATTAATAATTTCCTCTTGATGAAGGTCGGACCGTGTAGATTTGGCATCAGAGGTCGAAAATGGGATGCAACCTTCCTTGCCTTCTCACATACTGCTCTGATATGTTTGGCCATCCTAACTCCTCTTGTGATTTTAAAACCAATAGAAGTCAGTGATGGTTGAGCAGTGATTTGTGCTTCTCCTATCGTGAGTTTAATGTCTTCTGCTTTCCTCGGGCCATGTAGTAAAACTGCTTCTGTCTTGCTATCTTCCATAAGTAGTTCTTTCTTTTTTAATTTCTGTTTAATTTGTTTTGTGATGTTTTCAGTTTTAGTTTGAATTTCTTGTTCATTAATTCCTGTGATTATCAGAAGTGTATTGTCTGAGTAGGCTTGTTTCAGACATTCTGGGGTTGTGTTTAAACTGAGTATTTCATCGAAAATAAGTAGCCAAATGGTAGGGGAGAGGCATCCCCCTTGTGCTGCACCAGAATTAAATTTTATCATGAATTCTGGGAATAAACAAGTGGTTAGAAATGGAAACAAAATAATATGAACTATGCAATACGATTATTCCGATAACGGAACTTGGCTGTTTTGAAAACGCCTTCAAATGCGGCGTGATACCTCACGCATTCCGGAGAGTTCAAATAGTTGTATCATTGCGCCGTAAGAATGTGACGGAAGATTTAAATGTAAATAGCCTTCATGCAGGCTCGCCACATCCCATCTCGGGCCCTGGTAACAGTTTTAAGGTCCGGGCCCCGAGTACGAAGGGGGGGGAGGGTCCGAGGGGCATCCCCCGAGAAATTTTAGAATTAATATGACTAATTGGACGCATTTTGAAGCTTCCATAAATAATTTTTTCATCAATTTCTGCGGAATAATTATGTTTTTTTTTTTTTTTATATATATACTTTCAGCACAAAACACTTGCGAATTGTTGCATTCAAAATATCTGGAAAATTTAATTTTTTTTTTTTTTTTTTTTTTTTTTTTTGGGGGGGGTATTTTTTATGATACTATTTTCAGCTCTATGAGGGCCAGGCCCCCCTGGACTCCCCCTTCGTTTGTCTATGGCAAGGGAGTTGAGCCATAAGCCATTGAAGTCAAGGATGCCCAGACTGGAGACTCTTAGCATCCGATGACGGAAGAAAATGAAACGCAGTTACTAAAAATATCCCTCTGTACTGAAAATCTTGAAAATAGATAGAAATTTTCCAGAGAGTATACTCCTTTGAAAATTTAAGAATTCTACAGTGCCCCAGCGTGTTTCTGAAAATCGATTCACCTTTTGCGAAATTTTTAGGGTAAATTTTTCACTTTTTCTTACGAAACAAGGGTTGCATGTGAATTCGTAGTGGTTTTTCACGGGTAACACGGGCTCCCTTCGGGGCCCAGGCCCCGGTACCAGGGACCCAGTATCCCCCCCTTGTGGCGGACCTGCTTACCTTCATGATGATAAATGAAGTGAAAAGATTGAATAATGGTCGTAGGTTTAAAGAACTTTCCTATAACTCTTCTCGGGAAAAATATTTAATCGGAAGAAACTAGGCAACGTTGGAATGCTCATACGGCGTCGAAAAACAACATAGGCCTTTCTATTATTCGATGTCGCGATTATTCTAACGCGAGTTAGAATAATCGAGCCAAACATAGTGCGGCCGGTGTTAAACGTCTACTAGCGCCTGCAAGACTCTGGGAATACTTCACGCATTGCGCCAAACATCGCGGTCGGCGCGGCGTAAAGCCCATATTGGCGCCCATAAGACTACATCTTGGGCCACAGTGCAATTGGACGTGTTTCTGCCAAACGGAACTATGTGCATTATGACGCAAGCCTTGTCATGCATATATTCTTATGGGTCTCAGGGCTTATGCTCTAATGCGCATGGTTCCGTTTGGCAGAAATACGTCCAATTAATAGTTTGTTCGTTGAGCGTTGGTGGAAGTGGTCTTTGGCTTTTGGCGAACATAGAAAAAATGGCAAAGATGAAAATCGCGACAAACCGGATCATTTTATAAAAATGTATCCGTGCAACGTATTCCACGTAGAAATTTACAAAAATGTATTGTATTGCTTGGTTTCTAGTTTTGCCTAGTGATGGTTAATTCAAACGAGCATTCTGATTCGCGACACATACACAAGAATTACAGATCCTCCAGCTGAACGCAATGCTCTGAAGCACGCGCTAAAAAGTCGTTGAAATAGGTAAAAGTCTATTTCACTCCACTCGCAAGTTGTTCATTCCAAACAGAGCTCAAGCGTGCCCATCAAGGGCGATCGCCATTCGCCATTGTTTATGCCCTCGTAGTGACTCGTTGCCAGATCAGACATTTTCTCGTGATATTTAATGAGGAAAAGACGAATTTACTGGGTAATCTGTCAATTTGTATATTCTCCCTCGGTGTCCAATGAAAGTACCATGGCTTGCCGCGAAACTGATCCAACCTGTCATTTTCTATTGAACTTATAAATACAACAGCGGGTCACCAATGTCACATATTTGTGTTAGTTACCATCAGCAAACGCACCGTTAACAACGATCTTCGCGATTCAGGTGATTTCAAATAAAAGAAACACGTAATTAGGAAACGGTGCTGATTTTTGGTTTCCGGAATGACTTAATTAACCTCGTCGGTGTTGGGAGCGTGACCTTTTCCGAGGGTGGATATACTGTTAACGTTTACGTGAAGAAGGAAACTTGTTTCCATCATGTGGAATTTCGGTGTTTTGTTAGTTGGTATTAGTGTGGTGGTGGTTAGTGCGGGTATGGATATTATTCCTTCATCCTCCATAGTGACGTCATCACCAAACATAAGACCCTCCAATGAAACAGCGACTCCCGTGTCCAAGGACGTAAATGAAAGGCAAATCGAAGACACGTCTGCTACGGATTTTGTAGATGAGATGCTCAACCTGTTCGTTCAGTTTGTCAGCAATGATAAAGGTAAGTTTTTAAAATAGCTTAACGCTATTTTATTTGCTCTTAGCAGCCCACAAACCGGGCAGAGTTTAGTTAATTAAGCTGCCGGAACTACCCATATTTTCCCTAGGGTAGCCTTGAGTCCTATTCTTTGAAAGCCTAGAGTCAATGCTTTCAAATTTTCAGGGAGCAGGTCCGAGAGAAATCTGTCCCTGTAGATACAAACATCAGTTCCGGGAAACTATGTCGCTGCTGCCGGAATTCTGACTCGGGACCTATTGACGAGTCCACGAGACCGAGACGTGCTGACCAGGCAAAGGCAAAGGGCACTTAGACCTAGCCAGATTTAAGACATGCAGTAGAGATCATTAACGCAAATTTCCGTCCAAATTGATTCAAGGTTTATGCAAAGCTTACGGTTTCGGACGTGATACCCGTATCAAAAAATGAGAAGGCTTGAAGATGGAAAGGGGAAAAGAGGAAGGAAGGATGTTAACAAATGAATGACTCCTTTTTTACGATTTAGGCATTTTAAACTTTGAACAGTTGAATCAAAAAGGTTGATATAATTTTTTAAATTTTCATTATGAGGTTATTAAACCAATTTTCTCCTCCCTTTTGAATTCATATCCGTAAAGTGCTGAAAAAATGAGGAGACCTGTTTTTCTTCAGTTTTAATTAAATATCAGGAGGTGTTCAAATGCTACAAATTGGTGGCATTTTGGCCAACTTTTTGGTCTTTCTAGTCCCTCCTTGTACGGCACTTGGAGGACAACGTCTTACACCTCTAGTAAATAACATAGTAAACCTGCGGAATACTTAGCTAGTGGGCTCAGAGGTTAAACATGCAATGGAAGTTTGAGCGTGGAATATGATGAAATTTTGAAGCAATAATGAAAATAAAACCACAAATTCTGGAAACTCGATGATTTGTCTGAAAGCTAGCAAAGACTTTTTGCCTCTAATGGATGTTCGTTTAATTTACAAAACCACCAGGGCCGGATTTAGGATTTTTTGGCCCATATGCGCAGTCTGTAGTGGGTATCTCCTAGGAAAAGGGGTAGGTGTGAGGTGGGGAACTTACCTAGCAATCCAGAGATATTTTGGGGGGGAGGGCATCTGGCGATTTCGAGTGGAGGGTCTAGGGAGACACCCTGTACCCTGTAGATATATAAGGGGATTGAGGGGCCTCCACAAGAGAAATTCCTGAATGGTGAATTTGCGTCTATATGGTAAATCCAGCCCTGCATCATCATACAATTTATTTCTTAGTGTGGGTTAGCTGTATAATATGTACCTTGTATTTTCAGATGCAAGTTCGAGCGGTCAAGAAGAGTCTAAGCTGGTTAACAATGCATCTGAAGGCAGAGGAGGTCAGATATGAATTATTATTAAATGATCATATTCTAGGAGCATCAAATGTTTTCTTATATCTGCTTACATGATTTGAGAACCACCCTAAATACATTTTATCACTGTGCAGTAGTGTGCAACATTGCAGATTATTAATTCCAAATATAAGGACAAGTTATGAAGAAATAATATCGTTTCATTTGATATATACCGTTAAAATTATCAACAAGATTGAGTGTGATATCGTTCCGGAAATGCATTACCGCTAAACTGTAGTAACATGCACTTTAGCACATATTCAATACAGTTTCGATGCTACTACTCGATCTTATTCTATAATTTGAGTAAGAACTTAAAACGGAATTTTTTAGTCTGACAATGAAAAAGTTTCAATCAATAATTGGTGAAAAATTCCTAGGTGGTAAGTTTCCAATCCATTCCAGAGGGCTGATTATTCAAATTGATAGACAGAGCTATTGACAAGTACATTGGATTGCCAATTTTTGGCTGGTTAAGCTATCAAATAAGAAAAACGATGCTACATTGAGCTACAAGCCAAAAAAACAACAAATGCATTAATGCAATATATTCAATCACATGAAGCCACTACAACCAATGCTACTACGCAATTGACAAAGTAGACGAAGTGAAAATTGATAGATCCTATTGGTGAAGTGGGTGATTGTAATGGACAATGAAGGTACCAACTAACTATACAACCCTAGAAAGACTTTGTGGCTAGCCCATCATTCTTCCCTTCAGTTTATAAAAATTACCCGTTTCGAGCTCTAGGATTGCTCTATTTTCCTTTTGTCTTCTTTGTCTTTAGTTTTGTGTATCCATTGTAATAATCAGCCCTCTGTAAAGTTACTTAACATAAACTTAATTTTAAACGAGAAAACCATTCTGTCGTGTTAAGGAAGAACGCCGTATGGGCCACCAGGAGTTGCCAAATTTCCTTAGAAAAATTACGAATTTTTAGGAAAATTTGTAAATATTTCTCTTCCAATTTTTCAGAGGATTCCGTTCGCAACTTGATCTAAAAGTCTGAAAATTTCAAAAAAAAAAAAAAAAAAAAAAAAAAAAAAGAAAATCATAACTTTCTTCAAATATAAATATTTTCTTAGAAAAAATTTGGCAACATTCGAACATACGGCGTTTTTCCTCAGCACGGGTATCATACACAACGATGCTCAACTCGGTTTGTTTCCCAGTTGGCCGGCTGAAGAAATTCCTTCTTCCATTCCTGTTGGGTGTCTCGATGAAGACGAAAGCTGTGATCATAGCGGCCATCGGGTTCCTGATGGTTCTCACGAAAATCACGTTCATCAAGAGCAAGATAGCGCTCGTGATCGGAGTGGGTCTGCTCCTGTACCACCTTTACGTGAAGAAACACGCCATCCACCACATCAAGCACGCCCTCCACCACCCGGTGCCGTACGACGTGTCGCCCGCCTGGTCGGCGCCCCTCGCCGCTTGGGCCATCCCCGATTGGGGCGCTGCGGCCGCCCTCCCCGCCGCCGGCCACCTCGCCGCCGCCCCCTACGTCCCCCACATCCTCCGCAAAACTTCCCACGAGCAACCGACCCGCTTCCGCAGATGATCATCCCTCATGTTCCCGATTTAGGTTAGGTAATTTATTTCTTAGTAATTAGTCGACTCTGTAAAATACACCATCATTCCTATCAAAGAATTTTATTCCACAAAGTCATTTTACCCTACCTCAGTAGCACTAACTATAAATGTTGGACTCAGAAAGGAAGAAAAAATCAAATTGATAAAATGTACCATGTTACCGAAACCCATTTTTCAATTAAAATTCACGGAAAATACACTTTTGAAAAATAATGAATTTGCCATAACAATTTCGTGCAGTTCTAAAAATCATTCATATGAGATGTTTACCATTAACTAAGCACGGAATAAACTACAAAATATGTAACATAATAAAACTAAAAATGTAAAATTGTTGGTAAAATTTACTAAAATAGAGTGATATATACCTGTAAAAGCTTAGGGTGCCTTTTTACGTACAGGAGAACAAAACGGGTTTCCCGACTCAGATGTTCTAACAGTTTTTTTCAGTTTTCTCTTTGAAATTTACGAGTTTGTTTAACTATGGTCACGCTAACTGTGGTTAACGCTAAAAAGGAAGTTAAATATTGTATAATTCGGTATGTTTAAGACGGGAATGAGACTTGAAAAAGTTTTTCATCAATATGTTCTAAGTATAAATTGTGGACCTGAACCTCAGTAAAATGCACCCCTCCTTGCCTTATACGCGTGTTCTAATGCTAATTTTTAAGGAGTTTTCTTTTTAAAAATTAATATACGAGGTTTATGACTAAGCAAGTTTGAACAAATATTTTCCTTGGAAAATTTATTCTACATCCATTTTGAAAGAACTGTCAAATTATTCTTAAATTTACGTATTTTTCTGTGGCTTAAAACAAAAAAATTATGATAATTTCAAATTATATGAAAAGTTGCATATAGTGTGATCGTACATTTAACATGGAGGTGATCCGATTTCGTACTGTTTGACTATTATGTAAACTCGAGTACAAGGTAAGGAGGCGATTCTCAGAGCGACTTAAGTGGATGACAATGTAACTATTCGCTCAGAAACAATCGAAAATTCGGCCACCTTCTTCCTTTCCCCTGTTTCTCCGAAGCGTTCTCCGACAGCAGGACTATGGACAATAGACGGAGTAAACCAGGAAACACATGGGCCACATTGAGTTGGAATGTGTACGTCTTTTCTTTCAGGAATCAAAATCCTTCCTATAAGTTAAAGAAACACAATTAATATTGAGTCGATAATTTTTACATCATGGCATAAAATTACTGGTTTAAATCATATGATTCACTATTTAACAATTCTGTTCTCATTTTAACCCAAATTCCATGTATTATTGAAAAAAAGATCGTTCCCCAAAGTTTAAAACATTGTAGCCCTTTTAGTCGATGATTTAAACTATTACCAAGAAAAAACCAAGTCATCAAGTGTCACTTTCGCTCGCCACGTCAGCGTTTCCGCTGTTTATTCAATTTTAAAAATCTCAATTTGGAAATGTTTAGGTGATCGAGCTGGAAATGAGATGAAACGGTTTTAAAGTTTCCCGAACTTTTGGACTGATCTCATTTTGCGATTTGGGCACTGAGGCCCATGAGATTACACTCGTGCCGAGACTCATATCGATGGCCAATGTGCAAAACCACGTATTTTCGCTTGTGACGTTCAGACTTCCTGATATACTTTATATTTTTTTTTGGAAAAGTACTTAACATAAGTAGTTTTATAAAAATAATTCTACTTTTCTTCTGGTAGCAGAATATTCTGTAAAAATTTTAAGCTAAAAAGTTGGCTTGTCTCTGTTCGAAAAAATAAAATAGATTTTATTTAGGAGCGGAAATTTTAAAACGCCGCGATGGAAAGAGGAGGGTTTCAGAATTTGACCATCGATTTTCCACAACGAAGATGGTTTCTTTTCAATTGACTGCGTCCAAGTATGAAGGAGTTCGTTTAAAATGCAAGAAAGAAACCAAATGTTCCATTTATTTAGACCAAACCCTCTGGTGGTCATGAACAAACTTTCATTCAATAAGTCCCTGTTTCAGTTCAGTTTATCTTCTTCAACCACTTTTTAGGGTGTAGATAGCACTCGCGGTATTGGCGAAAGCTAATATTGAACATAGTAAGCTTAATTTAGCAAAGTAAACTTAAGCACTAAATGTAGATAAACTTCCGTTTAGCGCATCATAAGGTAAGCAAGGTCTATCAGCACACTGCTCAAAATAGTTCGACTCAGGTGAAAAGAACTATTTTTAGCGAGTATATAACTGAGGCAACTGACGTCCTACTATACGCAGATACGCAGAAGATTTCCATGACATTCGACTGAGATGGTGCAGGAATGTTTTTGTTTGATCAAAGCCGTATTGGTTTGCGCCCTTTGGTCCGGAGCCGCGGTGCGATGCTAGTCCTAGGCTGTCATCGTCACCTTGCGACGAATTCAAGGTAAAACGGCGTCTGCAGGTGGACGCTGGACAGACGGGGAAAGTAAAACGTATCCGATAATAAAGACAATAACGAGGCGTAATTATGGTACCGACAGTCGTCACGAGCTGACGAGATATCACTGATATCATCCGGAATGTACGGGGAACATTGAATGATGCGCCGTTGCCAAGAGAAATCGCTTAGCCACAATGAGAAAAATTTGTCCGGTGATATGGACCTTAAATACGGGTATCCCATTTTGCTCACACTTTTCGGTACCATCCGTTCTAGGAGCCAAGCTCTCGGTTTCGAGGAACCGTACTCTTGATTTTAGGAACCGCATCCTCATGCAACCAAGATTTAAAGTCAAACAAACCATACAAAAAGCTCGGTCGGATGAACCGAGAGTACGGCTCTTAGGACCGAGGCAATTGCACTGCATTTTGCAACTAGGAACTAAAATAGCAAGCTCATCTATAAAAACACCTATCTGCAAGGGGAAACTAATAGCACTTATGCTAACAGGAGCTAGAAATTGTTGTTACAAAATTGCAAAATGCAGTCATATACGATTCGTGTCTTACGACCGATACAAAATACCGTATTTACGGCTCATATGACTGAAGTTTTTTTCGATGAACTCTCGAAGTATTAAAAAATACCCTTGAAGAGAGCAGAGACTCCTCAAGTCACATTATGTACCTAACTGACTTCAGCAAGCTTATTGATACTCGATATAGCAACGCCTACTGAAAATTATCTTTAGAAAAGGTAAAAGAATGGACCACTAGATAAGGTACGAATTTCAGCATTCTGATACATGTTTCTTAACCAAAATTTTACGTAAAACACGATGCACACAACGAAAATTACCGAAATTAACTCCTTACGAAGATATTTAATGATTCTTGATGCGTGAATTCAAACCACCCGCTCATTAAAACTCAATGATCTGCGTGATTCACATCGCGCGCTAAACGTTTATCATGACAGTCTCTTGCAGTATGAAAATCTGGCAACCTCAATCTTGACGCTTTATCTCAGCTATAGCAAATTGCTTATAGTTTGAACAACACATGGAAGGAAATGAACATTGCTCGATTGAGAGGCTTGCTGAAACCTTTGTAGTGCGCGATTTGACTCACGTAGAGCTTTGAGTTTCTCGTCAGCGGGCAGTTCAAATTCCTCTTAACCAATGTGAAATAAAAACGTTAATATCTTCGTTAGGAGTTGGTTTCAGTGATTTTCGTTTTGTGAATCGTGTTTTACGTGAAATTCTGGTTAAGAAACTAGTATTGGATTACTTAAATTCGTACGTTGTCTAGTGGTCCATTGGATAGATTTATGTCAGGAGCACTATGTACAAATGAAATAAAATATAAGGAACTATGCATTTACATAGATTTAGCGAGCTTTTCTACGATTCCTTTTGATCCAATTCATTTTGGATCCATGTCACTTTCTGGGATTAAGGACTCCCTCATCGATGTTTGCCTATGCGGGCAAATTAAAGGCGAACTCTGAGTGTGCGATACCTAATACCAATGACTCAATGCATCTGGCTCCATTAAAGTTTATGGAGCAAGATGAATGTGTGTTTTGGTAGTTCACTGTCCATGCGGTAAAATTGAAGGATAACTTTATTTGTATGATACTTGGAATAGGTTTCTGCATTCTTCGTTACTTGAATCAGTGTTAAAGAGCGAGCTAAATGTATGATTTTTTAGGGAGTTTTCAATTCTGATAACACCTGTGAGTAAGTACTGAAGAAAAAGTTATGTGGCGAGTCTTTTGAGAGTTGCGAAAACTTTAGCGGTAACGTAAGACTGTGGCGAAAGCTTACAAAAATCTTTTGAGATGAAACGCCCATAGTTTTTTTCTGTGCGTGAAGTGCTATCGATTTTCCAACTTTTAGTCACTAGCGCACAGTCACAGTGCACTTTTGTGCACGCTACAGCGACGAAAACCAAAAGATGAGCTTTTTTCGTAGTAAAAAAGAAAAACGCTGCTGACTTGACAACACCTCTCTAGGAAGGTGCGATCCATAGTTGGGATACGGAGCGCCAAGCGAGTGGGCCGGGGGGCTGGGGTCATTTTCCGGCAGAGCCAAGGGGGGGGGGGCAGAGCGCCGAGAATTCACTTTTGTACGTATTGTCACGCTTGATCAGCGCGCCGGTGGGAGAGGACATAAAAACTCTCGGAAAAGCCCGCACCCGGGAAATAGCCGCGAACCAGTGCCCAGACGAGTCGACCACCCGACTCCACATCTCGATTTACTTCCCGGTTACTTTCTCAGTGCGAAGCATGGACTGCAGGGTTTTGATATTGTGCGTGGTGTTGCCGCAGATGCGGGCTCGGACGATCCGCTCGGCGGACGCGAGCGAGAACCAGGTGGACCTGGGTTCGACGCTTGACAAGCCCCCGCGGAGCGAGTTCATGAGTGACGTCAGGACCGTGTTCCGGGTGTACGAGGAGTGCTCGAAGGACGACTTGAGCTCGTGCCTCAAGTCCAAGTTGGTGTCCGGCCTGGAGCGGCTCTCGCAGCGCCCGGAGCTGGCGCTGACAGAGACCATCAGCTTCGTCAGGGACGGCCCCTCCCCCTCGGAGAGGACCGAGAAGGCCCTCGGGGATGCTGAGACGGAGAGCTTCCTCCCCCGCACGATCGACGAGAGGCATAGTTTTCTCAATCAGTTGATAATCAAGCAGATCGTCGATTTCTTCACCACGCACTCGTTGAAGATCAAGATCCCGCTCTTGGATAGTTTTTTCTTCGGGGATGAAGGTAGGTACCATGATATGGTTCCATAATACTGCCAAAACAAATACAGGCCTTATACTGCCCTGCTAAGATAAACGCCGCACATTGGATCGAGTCAATTAGAGAGGTCGGACATGAAATTTTTAACTAAAACTGCACATTTTGATGTTTAAATCGTCATATTTTATATTGTAAGGGGTGGTTTTCATAGAAAATCCACGAGGAAACCAATGGAACCACTTTTCGAACATCAAAGTTTTGCATAAACGGAGTTATGAGCGTTGAAAGTTTCCAAATTTTGTCCGACCTCTCCTATTGACTCGATCCACTGTGCGCCGTATGAAATTTCGACAGTTGCCAAATTTCCCTTAATAAAACATGTATTTTTGACAATATTCATGCGTATTTTTCCTTGAAATTTTCAGATATTGTAGATTAAATTGCGCACAAAATTGTCTGCAACTTTCGGAAAATAATATTCGCTATTTTCCCTGTAAATTCGGTTTTTATCAGAGAAAACTTGGCAACGTCTGAAGGCTCATACGGCGTTCTTCCTTAGCACGGCAGTGCAGACATACCGTCAGTTCCTGGCTCAGAGGTTGAAAGTTCTGGGTATGGAGCCATAGCTTCGATTTCTCCAGGTGCTACGGCCGGGACTTTCGGCCTCTGAACCCGGAACGCGGACGGTATGTCTATATAGCCCGTGAGTACGACTTCCACGGCCGGAGTCTCGTTTTCAGAGTAAGGGAAAATGCCGTTTGAGCTCTCAGGCGTTGCCAAATATCATCTAATCAAAAACAAATTTTCAGGGAAATTAATTGTTGGATGAATTTCTTCCAGTTTATCAGGGATTTTCATTCGCATTTTGATTAAAAGTACGAGAAGATTTCAAGGAAAGTATACATAACTTTCCTCAAAAAATACTATTTTGTAATGGGAAATTTGGCAACTCCTGAAGGCTCATACAAAGTTTCTCCTTAGCACGACAGAATAGGTTACCTCTCTTAAAATCGGGATACATACGATCAAAATATATGAAGAGTGGAAATCCAAAATATGGTAATTAAGGGCCATCAGGTGTTGCTGAGATTGCGCATGGAGTTACTCACTGCAAAATAACGTAAATGCATTCCCTTCTTGGACTTCATATTGGAAAATTTTCTCTAAATGTTTATTTATTTTGCATATTATGAATCGTTTGTATTGGGTCCACTCCATACCTGTTAAATTGACGAAGCAGTTGTACAATCCAAACAATAGTCGATGTCACTCACCAGGTTTTGCAATCCCAATTTTCATACGATCGTCTAACGGAAAAGGTACCAAGGCCCAAAAAGACTAAAAAGTTGAACTTTTTGTAGCAAAAAGCTTCAAGGTAGCATGCCAACTTATAGTTGGTGTAAAGTGACCAAGTTCAATGGTCGTCAGGTCACTCAGTCTTTCCCGAACTTTGGCGCAGCACGACGATACCAAATATTGGCTCGCAGAGTTTGATCATACAAGTACCTTTCGGCATGCACAAACTATCTAAATAGTAAAAAGAAACTTCTTGAGTCAGAATTTTGCTGACGTAGTGTGTGATGTGTCCTTGAAATTATTGGCGATGGAATTCGGTGAAAGACGCCCAGAGATTTTTGGGTAGAATACACATGGTAACTTCAAAAACGCACCGTTTGGTGCAATGCGTGAAGTATTCCTAAAGTTTAGCAGGCGCTAATATGCGTTTAACGCCGCTCGCACTGTGTTTGGCGCGATTATTCGAACTCGCGTTAGAATAATTGCGGCATTGAATACTAGAGCTTAAATTGCCGATGTTGTGTTTCGACGCCGCGTGCGCATTCCAACGTTGCCTCGTTTCTCCCGATTAAATATTTTTTCCGAGAAAAGTCAGGGAATTTATTAATCCCCACGACCGTTATTCAATCTTTCTACTTCATTTACCATCAGAAGATAAGACATCGATGACTTGTCAACAAACTAACTAATCCTCATATATTTTCTTAGACCTTTCGCGCAATCCTGGATTACCGCTCAGTAAAGCATAGACTCCCATTCACCTTACGTACCTGCCATCATTTATAGACGGCCCCTAAGTCAATTAAATCTAGACTTTGATACTTTTATTGGAGTGCCACTTGCATAGCAAAAAAACGCTTGAAGGGAAGACATAAGTGGTTTAAAATTCTTGAAATCACGTTTTTAAGGATGAGCTTTATTCGTGCCATGGAGTGAGGGAGAGAGAGGTGTCGTTCAGCTCTCTTGAACTCATGTGGAAAAAAAATCATAGATTTAACGATCTAGGTACTTGAATTCTGTACCCACCAACAAAAAAGCTGGTAGAATCAACCAGTCAACCACCTACCTTCTACAACTAATTGATTTTTATTTAAAATGAGCAAAGTCTGGCAACAAGAGGGGGTAGCAGGATTGTCTAATTAATTATTCTTGTTATATCCCGTATTGTCGCTTGATTGACACACGGGCGTAACTACACTCAGAGATGAGCCAGGGGAAAGATTGAGTTATATGGATCAGAGAGTTTATCTTAAAGTGTCGTTTACGTCCTTATGTCAGGAGGGCGACAATATATCAAGGGACACATTATTTTGGAGACCTACCATTGGGTCTTCAAATGTAACTAAATTACATTCAACAGCATCAGTACTGTATTTGCTACGTAATGACTGATGGTCAAAACCAGAACCGCACTTCTTACGAGAGACCGATTTATTTTTACAAACCTATCTGTTAAACTAATTCCCGTGCTACCCATAAGTCATTTGCGCTCAGATGCACATCTTTCTGCCCATGACGAGAAGTTAAATACCGAGTTTCATTCTTACCTAACCCAATTATGTTGCTTGAATAGGCAGCATGTAGCATCTCTAGTTACTTTTCTGACTATAAGGTATCGTGTGCATGAGAGACAAATGCATATTTTGTTGACGCACAATCAGCAACAAGCATAACTTCTGATGAGTGTATGTACAGCGTCAAACACACGAGAGAGTGAATGAGATCATAACGAATGCAATTGAAGTACCGAGATTACATCTCTGGCCAATGAGACGACTAGAAAAGTCATCCATTTATTTTGAATAGTGTGAATTAATTGATGAGCTACCGCTTCATTGTTACTCTTGCCCTAGCTTTTGAATACAAGGCGATCCAGGGTAAAACGGCCGGACTGCAGGAGCCAAAACACCCCCAAACCCCCTCTTTAAATTGAGATTCCGATTTTTTTAAGACAACTTATGAATTCAGCGAATAAAAGTACGGGGGAGTACAAATTTTCATGAGATTTGGTTCACAACCGTTGCCAAAATTTACATTTCAATATTGTTGGAGGGGTGGCGGGGAGCGTTGCTCTGACTGGTCAAACTTTTGGAAAAAAACTTTATACAACATAAAAGTCTTACTTTGACCATAGAACACACTACTGCAGTCTAGTCGTTCAACACTGGATCACCCTGTATAATAGAGAAAAAGGAATTTCCAACTTTTATCATGAAACAATTGAACGACAATTATTGAAGCCCCATTTGGTAAAATGAGGAGGAAGAGATGCGAGGATTCGGCAAACTAACTGTCTTCCAAAATTGTTCATCTGCTACACCCAACATCGATTAAGATAGGAAATTGGACTTACGATGACTAGGTAAGAATCCATAGGCATACCGGAATGAGATTCTATTTGCGGCATCGGCAGCAAGTTGCACGGCAGAAATAGCTTGTTCATCGCAATTATATGTTGCTGAAAAGTGAATCGAACTAGATGAACTCGCGTACTGCACATATCGAGTAATAATTTTTCAATCCCCTTCTCCTTTTCAGCTTCGAAGAGGATATGCATGGAAAGCGTTTGAGTTGAATACTTTTTTGCACGCTAATTTTATCTCGTATCCAGCCAATGCAGATCCTCGTTTGTTGCCAAGTCAGGCAGGAAAATTGTCCCATTTTTACTTATTTGATTTGTATCTACAGAATAACTAGAAAATACACATCTTGAATTCATCATTGAAAAGAATTCATCTGAATTTATATAGATACGCAAAAGCGAGCTCTTGAACGGCGTGAAGGAGGTATCAAAACATCTTACTCCGGGTGAAAAACTTGTAACGATATAAGTAACCACGATACCTGTATCCATTCTTGATTATGATAATATTATTTACAATATTTGTAACCTCGCTTACAATAGTCCTTAAATTCTCCATGCTTACGCCGATACCATCATTGCTGAAAAGCAGCCCATCGGCAAAAGCAGAATGACAGAGTAAAACCATCGTAAATGGGGTCCACATAGGCCTGGCTTTTCGCCAGAGCATGTTCTTGCATACTTCGTCAGATGAAGGCGAATTCCGTTAAATGCTCGATATTCGTGTTGCCTTAATTTGCAATTAACATGCAAAAATGAAAGGCAATTTTTTTTACTACAAAAAGAAAGTGAGCAGAAATTTTTGAATATCTCAATGGAATAGCGTGAGTTTTTATTTTGTCCGTCAGATCAGAATAAAGATATTGGTATTATTCCACAAATGATGTACGTGATAGAACCGCTGCATTGAAAATTAGATTCAAGAAACTCGACATTTCTGTTCGTTGCATTAAAGACTATCAGCCAACTCTAATGAGTCATATATTGAACCCAAGGACTCATGATTGTAATGGATGCACTACAATTACCACATTAAAAGCGATGTGGGAATGAACGAAGATGCAGGTGGAAAACAGCTTGTTTAACAAGAAAGGGATAGCATTAGAAACACGCTGAACTTCGACTGAACATTACTTCTCACAATAAATTGCCACCTTTGACAAATCAGTACATTAATTGCTTTTACGGAATATTTAAAAGATTTTAGGCATGCTTTGATGAAAAAAAAAGTCTCTTTCAATCAGGCATTATGAAAAAAGATGTACATAATGTAGCTAAGGACTGGTAACGTATGTCATAAAAGAAGGATGCATATAGAATTAGAGGAGAACTAGTGGGCTACGCCCCCTGCTGCCTACGTGGGCTT